TTTGGTTGGAATTCTTTACTTGAGGAAATAAATAATTTTATGACATTGGCTTTTCTTATCTACAAATRCAGAACATCTTTAGATTTGTTTAGAACTTTAGTTTCTCAATAACATTTCTATAATTGTCTTCAGGAAGGATTGCACATTATTTGTTAGGATTATTCCTGGGTATTTTTATATGTTAAATATTCTTAGGAAATTGATTCTCTTGTTTCCAATAATGCCTTAAAGTTTATCTATATTATTAATTACATGTGTTTTCTTTTATTAGCATTTACCTGGAACATATTTTTCCTATCTTTTCAGTTTCTCTTTGTCTTTCTGTTTCAAGAGTGTGTCTTGTGAATACACTTAATTAGATTTAACATCAACAAAAATTTCTGATTATTTTTATCTTTTCCTGGAGAGTTAGAGTCACTCAAATTGAGTACTATTACAAATATGTATCTACATAACTTTCTTCTTTTTATGTCCTTTCAATTTGTTCCACTTTGTGAAATTCCTTTTTTTTTGCTGGGAGGGAGTGTGGTAGAGTGTGTGCTTAGTATGAACCATGTCGTGGGATTAATCTTTAGCACCAAAAAGAAAAAAAAAAAAAAAAAAGAACGTTTTTAAGTTTTTCAAAAACTCTGTGATTTAAGCATGCTAACTTATTTTGTAAATCTCTGTGGTTCCATGCAAAATGGAATGTCTAAGCCATACTGTGGTAGGAGGTTGCTGTTACATTGAAGTAATTTTATACTTGATGTAATTTCTACTTCTGCACCAGCATCATACCATTTTAATCAGAACAACTTTATAATAATTATAGCTTAATAATTTATAGACCAGACCCAATCCAGGTTCTTCTTCAGATATTCATGGTGTTTTAGCCTTCAAAATATTTTAAAAAATAACCTACACTAAACCTTATATTGATAAATGTAGTATACATATATGACTTTGTGTATTTATGTTTTTTGAACATTAATTTTATTAACATAAAATTAATAAAATTTTATAATTCTTCCAAAAAATTATTTTTGTTACTCTATGTATTTGAACATGTATGCTTACCAAAGTCTAAAAAAATTACCAATACCTATTCTTTCTCTCTGTGTCTCCAGGATCTTAAAATATTTTAACTCTTATTACCTACTTGCAAATGATATGCTATTGTTGTCCAGGACTTAAAATATTATTGTTACATAATTCTGGGGATAATATTCCCTGAGAATTCATAATCACAAGTAAGATCCACATGAGTTTAAGAGCTAAATTTATGTTAACTATGCATTCCAAGAAAATTAAACAAATAATTTAATTTGGAGTGGTCCCAGGTTGGCAGTGACCCTTAGGCAACTCAGAGAAATAAATACAAGTCATCTCTGGAGGAACTCAACTYAACCCAGGTCTCAAAGGATTTCCACACATAAATATTCAAAGGAAATGACATGCTCACAGATAAATAACACGAAGAAGAAAAAATGTACCACGAGAGAGAACAAGCAGAAACAATACACAGAAAAAAAAAAAAAGACTCACAAAGTCTTCAGGTATTGAAATTACTTGACATGGGAATATAAAATAACTGTTTTATAAATTGAAAGAAACAAAAAAATAATTCTAAAATAGAAAAGAGATTTGGGTGTTTTGGACTTGAACAAGAATCAAAGAGAACTTCTAAAAATGAAAAATAAATACCATGTTGTATTGAGTACAAAACAGAATTGATTATAAGAAGGACCATCATTTTATGTGTCATCAAAAATACTGCCACTTATCATTAGAAGATGTCACTGCTTGTATGATACATCCTGATTTCAGAGATGTTAAAGTGAAAAAAAAAAGTTTCAGGATCAATGAACTGTAGCCATTGAAATTTAAAAATTAGCAGATCGATTAAATTGCAGAGTAAATCCAGCCGATGAGCAGAGTAAAGAAACAAATATTTGATACAAATAAATTTTGCAGCCCAGAGAGACAGTGAAATAGAAATACAACTGGATGGTTCAAAGTCATGGAGGACAACATGAGAAGGCCAGATATCTATCTAATCAAAAGTTTCAGAGGAAGGTAATGGAGAGAGACAAGGGAGGCAATGTTTTAAAATATGATTGAGAAATTTTGGAAACAGGGGAAAGAGAGCAATACCCAAATGAAACTAAATGATCCTGAAGCCGGAGAGAACAAAAGAAACCTGTACCTAGACGTATTATGTATCTGAAGAATACATGATAATAAAACTTTAGAACATCAAAGGCAAAGAGATCTTCAAAGCAACTGGTAATGGAAAAAGATCTCCTAAAAAACCCAAAGTGGACTAACTGATTAAATAGCAAAAATGGAAGCCAGAAGACTGTGGAATAATATTTTCAACGTGTTTTGAGAAAAAACAATAATCAACCAAGAAATTATACCCACTGAAACTCTTCCAAGAATGAGAGCAAAATAAAGAATCTCCAAATAAATAAAAACAGAGACTTTTGCTCAAGGAAAGTTTTATAAAAGAGACTTGAAGCAGATGGGAACACAATCCTAGATGTGGTACACCTCACAGGGGGAAGATGGAGAATGCCCGTGTTCTGAGGAATCWCAGGGGAAGGTTTGCTTACCTCTCAGGTGTCTGCCTGGCTTTGACCACTTTCTGGGATYTTTAAATACTTAATTTTGCGCCAAAGCAGTGATGAACTTAGTAAGTTGTTATTTTATATTTTATCCTGCATTTGAGTTGTTTCATTTGGACAGGATTGTTTAGGTATTTCATCTGCCCACCTGCAGGAAATACAAGTAAGTCTTCTGACAAAATTTCTTTAGAGTAGCAGGGCAACTTAGTGAGACCCTGTCTGAAAATAAAAAATAAAAAAGGCTGGGGATGTAGYTCAGTGGTTATGTGCCCCTAGGTCCAATCCCTAGTACCGAAAGAAAAAAAACAAAGTTCCTTTCSAATAAACCGGTTGACCTGGTGTCCATCTTTCCCATCCTCAGAGAATAACCTGCCTTCCTCTCATAAGCACATATACCAGCTCTATTTTTATCTTTGCCTGTAAGCTGTTTAAATTAATTGTCTACTTACCCCATTAGAAATATAAGGGCCAGAGCTGTGTTACTCTCTGTTTTACTCCCAGACCTCAGCAAGTGTCTGGCACATAGTAGGTGTTCAGKAGACATTTATTGTATAAATGATTAGTGAGTAATTATGAGCTAGAAGCCAATATAAGGTACTAGGTCAAGCACAGCAGTGGGTCTCTGCTTCAAATTTAGCCATTGAACGTGGTGCCTTTAAGGTTGGTGGATTTCCATTGAACTCTGTTGTCCAATATGGTAGCCATTCACCAACTGTGGCTATTTAAAATTTACCAGAATTAATTAAAAGTAAAAATTCATTTCCTCAGTCACACTAGCCACGAGTCAAGTGGCTAGTGGCTATGCTCTTAGATACTGATGGTGTAGAATATTTCCATTGTCATAGAAAGTTCCATTACATGTGCCATAGAATTCTCAAGAATTCTTAACTGCTTCTCTCTCTTTCTCTCTCTCTCTCTTGCTCTCCCTCTCATTCTCATTCTTTCTCTCTCTCTCCCCCATCCCTAAACCAAGTACAGGGATAGTTGTTTCATTGTTAGTGACTTAAAATGATGCTTTTCGGTGACTAGTACCATACCCACTCTTCTTTTAAATCCCTGAGCTATTCTTTACCAGTACATTCTTTTATTCCCATTGCCACTAAAGCTGCATGTTACTTGGGTGGGAAGAATAATTGCTTTCTTTTCTAGGTCCTTAAACCCTTTGCTGATGTTACTGTCTGGAGAGTTCCCAAAGCCAGGGTTCTAGGAGAGTTTGGCCCGTCTGAAGAGCTGACCCATGAAATAATGGAGTAGGGCAAGAGGGGTGGGGAGCAGGGCCTTCTATCAATAGAAAACCTCCCCTCTCTGCACACATGGCCAGTTAATTGGCCATTCTGGGAAAGTATGGATGGGGAGGGGGGTGCTTCTGAGAATCTCCGGTGACAGTTAAGTGGCCTTTTGTCTGCCCTCTGTGGAACAACTCTCTGTCTCTGTCTTTCCTGTGGATTTTCTGTTCGATTCATCATTTGCCRTTCAGGCAGAATCTTTGCTTTGTCCTTCCAATATGATTGCCTTGTGTGCCGGCCTCKGCTTTATTCCTTCGACTCCCAGACCATAAAGGGGATCGTGTGGAGCTTCGGGCAGGACTGAGAAACAGACTCTACCATACGTGGAGAACTGTAATAATGACTGCAGTGGATCTTACGTTCAGCACAAAAAGCTCTACTTGTCCTAGCAGAATGGTGACTACCTGAAGATAGAGACGAGGGACCTTGACTGAATTTCTTCTCACGCAGTGTATATAGTTCCTTTGCTCCCCTCTCCATTCTCTTCTCTTTCCCTCTCCCCGTTGCAACCAGAGTACGGATCCAAAACACGGCTGCGACTAAGAGTGAATGCCCTCGAAATAATTCATCACCTTGCGCAGGCTTCGCCAGGCCACTTCACCGGGGCTGTCTCATCTAATATTCCCCAAAGCCCCGTGAGTAGGTAGGGGACCTATTATTAACCCCATCTGACCTATTATGAACCCCATGAGATTGGAGAGACTGGCTAGGTAGCCCTATATCTTTTCGAAGGGACCTGAGCACCGGGTTCTCTGTCCTCTTTCCCTGGACATGAYGGATTCGATGGTCACTGAGAGGCTGGCCCCAAACTCCCTTCTCCCTGAGAGGAAGGAAAAGCTGAGGGCCTTGTCTTCTTCCTTCTCTCSCTACCCTTCCTAGGAGATGATTGGCCTAGGGAGAGGAGGCTGGGGAATTGGCCTGGCTCTCCCCAGGTGGGAGCCACATGCTGGGTTCCCCAGAGTCTAATGCTCATTCTTGGGCCGCGGCTGCTGGCATTAGGTGCTGTGCTCTTCTGAGGCCTGGGCCATGCCCGGGTGTGAAGAAAGTCCCTGAAGCTTCCTGGAGGAAGAAGCATGCCGGGTGTCCCCAGAGGAGGGACTGGCAGGCAGATACTCCTGGTCTTCAGCATTATGCTGGCAGCAGCTTGGGGCCAAATGAATTTCACAGGGTAAGTGGCTACTCCTTRGCAGGAGGAAGGGCTGACTGTGAGCCAGGGCACCCAGGTGTCAGTCCCCATGTGTGTTTGTGGGTTTGTGTGCTGGTGGAGGGGCTGTCCTGTTGGGATGGGATCAAGGCAGAAACATCAGGACTTTGGTTTCCATCCAGAACCTAGATGGGGCTTCCACCTCCCACTCTCCTGTTCCAGAGGGGGGCAGGCCACTCTGTAGCCTTCTCTACCCCTCTGTGTTTTCCAGAGACCAGGTTCTTCGAGTTCTGGCCAAAGATGAGGAGCAGCTTTCACTCCTCAGGGATCTGGAGGGCCTGAAGCCCCAGAAGGTGAGGACGGCCCTGGACTCAGGAACACCCCCTCCTGAGCAGCTTGCAGCTAGGCTACCTGTCCTCCTCCCCCATCCACACCTGCCCTCCTGAGGTCTCCACCAGTGATCACTGGAAAAATCAAATGTGGCTCCTCTTCAGGAAAGGTTGGGGACAYTTGCCCACGAGGTTGGGTGGCCTAAAGACTGTAGCTTTCTTTTCTTCTCTGTCTTGGATGGCGGGGGTGGGGGGGCGGGGGGGGGGACACGACTGTTGAGCAGATTCCCAAAGACAGCCGGAATGTCCTAAAGGCACTTGGGAGGCACAGATGTCCCTGGTGGGATGCCATGCAGCATCAAGTGTGGACACATCTGCTTCTCGACTGAAACGGCTTAGCTTAACAAACCTGATTTTATTTGGGTTCATCCTCGTCAGGCCGAGCATTTGTTTCTGAGAACATTTGCCCTCTACAAGTTTTCAAGATGGGAAACATTTTCTTTGTCAATTATAATAGAAGGGTTTTTGTTGAGGGCTGTTGAAGCAATCATAGTTCTGGAAGTGGCCCAAAGCCCTTGCTCTTATATTTGTATGAGTGTCCCCATCAATGAGGACTTATAACACTTTATAAGTCCCTACATTTTACAAATTGAAAACCAGATGTAGGACATGGGGCTCCAGATTAAACCTCTCCTGCTTCTCCAGGGATCAGGAGCAGGGAGCAACRAGGCCTCCCTCTTCTGACCTGGGTTCTTGTCCGTGTTAATGTCTCATGTTTAGGAACTTGGGGGCACTGTGAATCCAAGCAAAGTTGCAATGGGTGAGAGGCTGGGAAACAGAGGTGCTTGGAGGTAGGGAAAGAAGCTTAGCAATGTGTTTATTGGTTCTGGTCTTTCTGGTCACCTGGGTTTTCCTTATGGAACTGCAGTCCTTTGAAATATTAGAGAAAACCATTTGGCTTTCAGGGCACCTACAGGATTGTGTAAAGACAGGCAACAAACACACCTGTTTTCATTTCCATTGTGAACAAGGTGGACTTCTGGCGTGGCCCAGCCAGACCCAGCCTCCCGGTGGATATGAGAATTCCTTTCTCTGAACTGAATGACATCAAAGCTTATCTGGAGTCTCATGGCCTTGCCTACAGCGTCATGATAAAGGACATCCAGGTGAGGTCCCACCCTGGCACTGTGGCAAAGGTCTTACCTTCCCCATGGGTTTCTGGTTGGGGCCCATCACAGAGGAAAAAYGTTCAAGCTGAAAGCTGACATTTTGCTTCCGGATCTCCATCTGCATGTTTGTGAACATGCCATGGAAGGAATTAAATTGCACATTTCTCAGGGAAAATGTAAACCTMGGACAGAATTCCCTGGGTGGGGAGTTCCCATAGTGGGTAAGGATGCTGTGGATGGGTCCTCTTAGGGAAGAATTGGCAGCTAACAGCAAAGAATGGAGACCACAGGAAACAGCTTAGGTCTTTTCCTAAGCGCCTCTGATGGCTTCCTTTGTTTTTCTGACTGTCCCCCACTGTCCTCATTGTGTCTTAGCCATGCAATACCAGGGGGGATTCCTTTACTCCAGAGGAGCGCTGTGAGCCCTGCCATTCATCCCTGCCGGCTGCATCTCTGTGCAGGGCTGTCTGTGTGGGCTTCTCTCCCAGGCAGGAAYAGCTCTGGGTGAATGGATGCAGGCCAGACCTAGGATAGGGCAAAAGRAGCCCTCATCCCAGGCAGCCCTCAAACTCCCCGACCCCACTTGGTGCCGAACCTTTTAGCCACTCTTCTGAACTTGCAGGAAATTCTATTTCAACTGTTCTGTCTTCAAGGATTTCGCTAAGCCTCTGAGCTGTACCCTTCTGCCCGGGCTTTACTGACTGCGTACCTGCGGAATTGTATCCACAGATTCATTCCCAGCCATGTTGTTCTGCACGGATCTTCTCGAGGACCCTGAGTGTGGGAACACGGAGCCTCCCAGAGCGCACACACTTGACACCGCATGCCAAGGGATAAACGCATTAAGCGGCATTCCTTTCCCATGCGAGCACAGGGCTGGGGCACTTGGGTCCATTCAAAGTCCTTTATCCCTCCTCAGGCACATCTGTTTCCCGCTCAACATGTGGGGGTGGGATGTTTCTCTAATTAAATCCCCCACAAACAAAATAGGGGAAACTTGCACAGACAAAAGAGGCTACCACATCAAAAGAAATAGAACTTAATTCCCATTTTTAGCTCATGCCTCTATTTTGAAGTTCGTGTTTCCCTGCTTCTGCCTCGCCCTGGGAACCCCGCRGCATTTGGCAAACAGATACGCAGAGGCTTGAAAATTTTTCTGTTGATTTCTGCACATCGGGGACAGTCCCAGAGTCACCTCCGAGTCTCCCCATTGCCCCCCTCTGGAGCTGGTCCTCTGCATTCTTCTCTGCCCCAGGCCCTATCCCCCTGGGGCTTTACATTCCCAGGAAAATGTCCCCTCACCCCATCTCTCTCCACCCTACCCAGCCTGGCAGGATTCTCATTCACCAGCTCACTCTCTGCAAAGCATCACTCTCCCAATGCCATCCTTGAGGTCACTCTGTGGCTTAGAGGGTGCTGGGGGTGGGGAGAGGCTGGTTGATTTGTGGYGATGATGGTGATTTGTGGGGAGGGATCCAGGAGAGGACGGCTCAGAGGTGCTGACAGGACCGCAAGGGCTTTGCACCATTCAGGTTGTTGGCCACCAGATTTATTTCAGATAATGACACAAAGGCCTGATTTTTCTGTCTGTTCTGTGGATCATCTCAGCCCCAGCACTTGGCATAGGGTCCCCTACATAGTGAGCCCTCGGTAATTGTCTGCAGAATGAATTACTCTGTTGGCAGGTTCAGGACCGGCTTGGGCAGAGGGTCTTTATTGACACATTGTCTTTTGTCTCCCTGGTCCCCTCCCCTCGTGCTCCTCTGGGTTCAGTGGCATGCATCTTTACCCCCTCCCCCCCACCACCACTTAGTTGGGGCTTCAATCAATGTTCATTGAATTAATGGATGTGAGGAGGAAAGGAAAAAGGAGAAGGTGTGTTGGGTGGCCAGGGCCAGGCTGAGAGGGAGCGTCAAAGTCCTTGCTGCAGGCTTAGGCTAAAGGCTCAGGGGATTTTTGAGGAAGGAAAATTCTCCCCTTCCCCTGGCTCTGCTTGGGAAGGATGAGGTGGGCCTGTTCACTCCACCCAGAGACACAGAGATGCCTACTGTGTGCTGAGAATTGGGCAAGGTGCTGAAAATAAGGAGATTTAAAAATCCAGCACTGTTTCCAGGGGAGCTGGAGAGCGTGGGGGATGGGAGGGAGGGAGTTAGCGGTGATTACAATGGAGTGGTTGGGAGCGCTGGAGTGAGAGCAGGTTGCCATGGGAGCAAATACAAGAGGCACTGCACGTCGCGGTGCTGAGAAGGCGGTAATTACTGTGTGGCTGAAGAGAAGGGAAGGGGGGCTGGGGAGAAGGGAGCCCCCCCCCCCCTGATTGCGGCTGAGGCCGGACCCCATCCTCCGCCCTGMGCATAGGTCAGGATTTTTTTTTTCCCCCGGAAAAATGGTGGGGGAGACTTCGGAAGGGCTTTGACACCATCAGATTTGCATTTCAGAAAAACCACTCTGACAGTGACAGTGTTGAGTCRGGGACAGGGCCAGGGAGAGACTGACAGGCAGGAGGGTGGTGAGGAAATTGCAGTGGGCCAGGCAAGAAATTATCTGATTCCGAGTGAGCTCTATTTGCATTTAATTTTTCTTCACCTCCTCGTTCCTTTCAGCCCTTGGTGTTTTTTTTTCCTTAGGATGAGTCACCATGGAAAAGCTTCACTTGAGCAATCAGCTCTGTGGATTTTAATGGCTTTTTTTCTGATTACAAAATTAATAAATATTCATGTTAGATAATTTGAAAAATAGGGGAAAAGCATAAGAAGAAAACAAAAATCACCCATGCTCTGACCATCTAGATGGGAATACAATTTAGTGTAAATATTGCCTCACCAATTTCCTCCTCTCTCCTGGATCATTTCCATTAGCATACAAATGGAGAGTTATTTATCCCATCTTTAAAAATCCTCTCTTGATCCCATCCCTTGCCCCTCCAGCCATCACCCCAATTCTCTGCTTCTCCATAGGGTAAAACTTCCAGAAATGTTGACTTTTTATACTTGTCCGGCCTCCTCATCCCCACCCGGATTGTTCCCCCTTATACACCAAAGCTGCCTCCCATAATGGCRCCCAGAACACTAGGTTCAGCTCAGTTGTCAGCTCTCAGGATTCATCACGACAGGCACATCTGGTCCAGCTGTTCCCTGCATCAGGCCTCTTCTCTGGGCTTCCAGAACACGGCTCTGTCCTGGCTCCCTGGTTGTTCCTTTGTCCATAGCTGTCCTGTTTCCAGCTCTGTCCTTGGACTTCCCCTCCATTCCCTCCTCCAGGATCATGGCATCACATCCCTTCAACCTCCTCCCTTATTATGTTTCAGCCAGTGCCTCTTCCTGAACTCCCCTGCTCACCATGTCCATTTGGTGCCCCATGAGCATCTCAGGTCCAAACCAAGCACCCCCAGCCCCACCTGCTCCTCCACAGCTGTCCTCAGCTCAGGAAACARTGTTATCATTCTTCCAGTCACTCAGGCAAGAAACTTAGTCACTGTTAATTGTGGTGGATTGGATGTGGGGTGTGAGAAAAGAACAAAGTCTTATTTCAAAAGTTCCCCTTCTTCTCATCCCCTTTCCCAACTCCCTATCTCCTCCCCCTGCTCCACTCTTTTCCTTGGCATTGAACACTTCATCACGTTGTCTACAATCGACTTCTTTATCTCGTTGGTGTTCTGCATTCCTTGCTAGACTGGAAGCTTTATGAGGCAGATGGTGTTCTTTGTTGGCTGCCATGTCTTTAGTGCCTAGCACATAGGATATGATCAACAAAAACATGTTTGCTGGAAGGAAGGGTTTCAAATGGGAAGATGCTGTTGGTTGGTGTGGGGGTGGGTGGCACTCTAAAAGAGGAGAGGGTGACAGTAGGAGGATTACAGAAAGCAGGGAAGAAGGGACAATCATGGGCAAGACTCAGAGGGAGAATCAGAGTCTGACTATGTCAAGGGGGCAGGGACACAAGAGGATCCAGGCTGTGCTGTTGGTGCTACTCATCCAAGTGACCAATAGTGGGACTATGTGCCATCCAAACCTGACAGATGCCATATTTCCTCTGGAATCCAGATTTTCTAAGTCGTTTTTTTTTTTTTTTTTGGCACTAAAGATTAATGTTGGGGTGTTCTACCACTGAGCTATACCCCAGCATTTTTATTTTTATTTTGAGAACAGGGTCTTGCTAAGTTTTTGAGGCTAGCCTCAAATTTGTGATCCTCCTGCTTCATTCTTCCGAGTAGCTGGGATTACAGGCATGCACCCGCTTAGCCATGCCTTATAACGATCCATGACCCCAGGAATAATTATTGTCTTTATTATCATCCTCGGCATCTTCATCATAGCCAGCATTTGTTGGCATTGGCTACATGCCTAGCAACATATAGTAATCCTTCTAATCCTCATGAGAACAATTTTAAAGCATGTGCTAACATATGCAATAACATGATTCTTGTTTCATGAGGGGAAACTGAGGCACAAAAAGTTAATAATTTGCCAAAGTTAGCAATAGTGTCAGGGTCTAATCTGAGGCAGCCTGGTTCTGGGACCTGTACTCTGCCCCTGCAGATGGCCTCCTCGGCAGTAATGAGGTGTTGAAACTTTGCTCTGTGATCAATGAAGTTGTGGGGTCCCTTTTAAAACATCAGATCAGGAGCCCCTTCCCATGTACGTTGTCTGTGGACTGTTCAGGATGTTGGCCATGTAACAGATACAGGCCTAACTGAGAAAGTCAGGAACAGTCARTGCGGAGCTCCCCACCAGGTCCCATGAGCTGCGGCCGTGTATGTCTGGGGTCGGAGCTCTGTGACAGCGGTCTGCCTCAGTCTCTTCCTCTCCCCCACCCTGGGGGTGCTGTTCTTTGCCTAGTGCCCCCATCCCCCCTTCCCTTGTCATAAGTTAGCTAACACCAAGGTATTACTGCCCCTGTCTGGTTATGGCTTCCAGGGAGGCAAATGGCTAATCTGAGTTTCTTCTTCTTTTTTTTTTTTTTCCTGAGGAGTCTGACAGGGTTTTAACAGGCATCCTGAGCCTGTGGTAAGGCCACATTCTTAGCTCTCCTCTGTCTCATCCCCTTCCCTGGGCCCTAGGAAGGGAGCAAACATCTGTGCAGTTTTCAGGCCAGGGTAGATTAATGTTCCTGGAATTGGGGCCCAGCTGCGAGGGCCTGAACATTCCCAACTCCTAAGAGGGTGTCACATCCATTCACAAGCCTGGGAGGGTGTTTGGAAAGCTATTTGCAGTTTGGTGCCGATTTCCATTTGCCTCCAAGCTGTTTTATGGAACAAGGGATGACCTCCTGGGAGCTGTGTCTGTTCCTGGCTGCAAACTGGGCCCTCTGGTCCTTTCCTCCCAGTTTCTTCTCCTGCCTTCCATACCCCGCACCCACCCCTTCATGCACTCCACCAGGCCCTTGGAGATTAGACCTCCAGGCCCCACAACTTCATTCCCATGAGGCCAGAGTGGGGACCAGGCTACCCTGGCCCAGCTGCTGTCCCCCTTGCAGCTGCTCACCCAGCTGGTAGCACCAGTCCATAATGGTGGGCACACATCACGGTCACGGTGGGCCTGCCCAGAGATGGGTGGATTTTCTGGGAAGAAGACACAGTCTCTTTGTTAGAGCTTCCCAGGGTGGTGCTCCTGAGTAGCCATTGAGAGCTCCTCCAGCCATGTCTAATTTAACCAGTAATCCCAGTTTTGCCCAACTGGGAACCAAAGACAAGCCAGCTCAGCCATAGAAAACAGCAATTACGTTGCCTAGCATGTGGTCAGTGCTCAAACATAAAGTAAAATGATCCCCAGGCATCAATTCCCAGGTCCTTTTGAAAYCTCTGAACTTGAGAAAGCCATGAGCAAGTGGACAGGACCCTCAGAGCTGAGTGCGTCACTGGATGGCAGCCCATCTGTCGCAGGGGAGGAGGGGACCCTGTCTCTCAGCCCAGTGAAGACTTTGCTGCTGTTACCTCATATTAACCATTAGAGCTTTGGATTTTGATATTATTTATTCATTTAATAATTCTTACTTATTAATCTAATATAAGCACATGGCCAAAATGTAAAAAATAGAGAAGAGAAAACAAATTGCTTGAAATCCTAATTTCTTCTTCTAACAGGCATTGTTAATATTCTGGTGGATTTTTTTTTAAAGTGTCTTATTTTCCTGTACTTGGGGTTACTTCATTTTTCATCATTAAAACAAAACACTTTTTAATTGTAAGAATAATGTGATGCAGTTTTTAGCTGTTATTAACATTTTGCCCATTTGTGTTCTCTCTCCTCTCTTTCTGTATTCATACACACAAACACACACACACACACACACACACATATACACACATATACACAGGTGCACACAGAGATACACGCATCTATGTATATAAGTTATCGTTGCCCTTTAGTTTGGCTAGCTAGCCTAAGAAACCTGAGGCTAGGAAACAGAATAGCTCATTCTTTACTTACCTCTGCCACTTGTTAGTTTTGCCATTAAGTCTTGTCATCTCTTCAATCTGCTTTATCTCTGAAACATGCAGAGTTAATACCTGCCCTGGCATCTGGTCAAGTGAGATCATGGGAATAAAGATGCTTGGTAAACCAAAAGGCTCTGGTCCAAATCTAGGCATTTTCAAGACTCATTTGTGATCCAGAGCTGCAAACCAGGGGCACCTTTGGGTTGATGAGGATGTGATCAACACCCTCTGTGGCAGGCACTTCCCATAGGCACGTCAGTCAGTTCTGAATCCTGGGGTGACTTAGTCCTGGGTACCAAGATAAGGGTATGAGTTTGGATGAAGGGCACCTGTCCATCTCACTGTGACCCAAGGTGGAAAAGTGTCCCGGGATGATATAGGTGGTCTGAGCAGTGAATAGTCAACTTGCCTGAATGTCCTCCCTGTGGTCAGTGGGAAGTGCCACATCAAGGTTGAGTGCCAACTCTAAACTGGTATGCAGGATGTTGTTTTTTTCTCACCTATGCTTGTGTTTATTTAAGAGGCGGTCAACATGGTGAATGAAAGACCGTTGACACTTTAGTGGTGATTTGGACTGGCCTTGTCATACCTGACTTTCCAAATGATTTGGATACCAGTCATCCACGCTACTTCCTGGGGGTAGAGTCAATGTTGGGGGTCTGCTCTCCCTAGGGTTCCCCAGGGTTCAGCTTGGGTTCTGATTCAACAGAATGTTTATAAAGGGAAAGAGTAGACGATGAGCATCTTTTCTAAAACTCCTTCCTATCCATTATTGCATTTTATTCTGCGAGGTAGCAAGGCAGACATTGCTGTCCTAATTTTCAAGGTTAGAAAAACTAAAGCCAGCAAGTTCCACAGTGAGCTGGTGGCAGAGGCAGGCTTAAAACCTAGCTCCCCAGACCACCTTGCCCCGTGCTCATTGGGAAGTAGCAGGGTGGATGGCGGTACCCGAGTCCCCAGCCCCCTCCTCACCTCCTGCTGCAAGGTGCTCGCTCACAGTGGCTCATTTCTCTGTGTCGATGCTGTCTTTCTGTGTGGCCGGTCCAGGCTGGGCTCAGGAGAGGCACAAGGACCTTCTCTGCCCTCCAGTGTGTGCTCTCATCTCCTAGGTGCTGCTGAACGAGGAGAGAGAAGCCATGGCGAGATCGCGCCGGCTGGAGCGCAGCACCAGTAGCTTCAGCTACTCCTCTTATCACACCCTGGAGGAGGTAGGCCTGTCTGGTCCAGCTCTGGACTCTCTCTTGCCTCTGGGCTCCTTGGATTCTCCAGACTCAGGCAGAGACCAATGAAGGTGCTGGAGTCTATGAAAAACTGTGAACTTGGGGAGTGAAGAGTAGATATTAGGTGAACATCTGTTGGGCAGTCAGCTTAAATGGGATCCAGAAGCCAGTTAGAGGGGACTACAGTTCAATAGGATGATCCTAAGCAGGCACAGAGCAGAGTAAAAGGTCTATACTGGGCAGAACACTAAGGTCGGTGGAGGGTGCCTCCAGACCCTTTTCTCTGGCTAGGGATCAGGGATCTCTACCTTTCCATGACCAGTCCTGGTGTTCAGGGGCACTGTGGGTATGGGTAATTGAGGGCATAAGGAGCAAGAAGCCAGTCATACTTGTAGAATCAAACAGAGTCGCCTTGGAGAAAATTCATGATCACAGTGACAGCCAGCTAGAGCCAAGTGTGACTGGTGGTGACTTGTTTGTAAAGCAGAATCTGCAAGGAAGGCACAGAAATTCCCACTCCAGAAAGAAATGCAAGGTCCACTTACTATTTTGCATGTAAAAGACATGGCCTTATTGATAGCATCCACTCTGTCACTGTTATCACTTTTCCCACATCACAAGCCCTTTAATAGAGGAGACATTTTATTTTCTTATATTTCTTAATCATATTTACTGAAAGGATAAGAGAATGGATTTATATAGCCTACAACTATTTATTGATGCTAAAGATAAAGATAAACAGGAACTCTGCCTTCAAAGAACTTAGAATGTAAAAAGAATAATAAGTTTTTTTTTAAAAAAAGATACTACAAGGTCTGTGGATCCCTCAATCGGAGAATGGACCAAAGGATGAAGGCATGAGAGAACTTTCAACAGAGAGAGCCATGTGGGGATTTGAGTAGGCTCAGCACATGCTGTCCTCCCAGGCAAAGGCATAGCTCTGCACAGGGATGAGGAGCCCGCCAATCCAGCTAGACTACGACTCACTGTCCTTAATTCTTAGAGCATCTTCAATTCCAGTTTTTAATCTGGATCCTTTTAGACTCTCAAAAGAGGTGGACAATGGAAAAGAGTGGGATGGGGGGAGGAGACTATTCAGAGACATCTTGGGGTTCACCCTTCTCTCAAGTTAACTGCCAGTCTGAGACTTCGTTCCTTTCAGATCTATAGCTGGATTGATAACTTTGTAGCCGAGAATTCAAATATCGTCTCCAAAATTCACATTGGCAACAGTTTTGAAAATCGGTCCATCCTTGTTCTGAAGGTAAAAGTTCTGTGTCAACTAGTGGACTCTTCAGTGACAGCCTCTAGCATAAGATCAAGCCTGTGTAGGCAGTGACTGGATGGGAGTTTTGGGGACAGGAAAGATGTGCGTGTTCCTGTCTTTGGGTGACTCATAAGCTTTGAGATATGGTATTCAGGGATCCACCCTTGTAGGTATGGGCAGGTGACAGTGCAGTGACCTTATCAGGAAGTAGTGGGAGGGTTGCTAAGGAGACGGAGCTGCAGAGTGGCCATTGTCACCTGGACTTGGGGTGGGAGTGTGGGTGAGTCAGTGTTCTTCCTGTTGCTTCAGTTGCTTTATCTGTTAAGAGGGAAAAGAGATACAGTAAGGGCTCATCTGACAATGATCAAAGTCATCTGGCTCAGATAGTTCCATGAACAGGCCTGAGTCTCTGGGGAAGCCTCCCAGCCCTTCACAGGGGCCGCTGGAACAGTGCTTGAGCACATTTGGCAACTGCAGTCCCCTTGATCATGAAGGAAGCAGCATAGGTGAGTGCAGAGTCCAGTGGAAAAGAGTTCTTAGGGCATGTCCCCAAGGGGACCAGATGCACGGGCCATGCAGGGCACTTGATGTCAGTGGTCAGGAAGGACAAAAGCTACTGCTCTCAACAATGTTCTGCTGGACATTTCTGAACAGCAATGTGGCCTCGTCTCACCTGGCCCTAGACTTCACCTGTTTCTGCTTCCACCCCTGACCTGGTGCTGCCCCAGACTCTGTAATGTGGTCTGAGACCTTGCTTTTCAAAGTGTGGCCCTTGCATAGCAGCGTCCACATCACCTGGGAGACTGCATTTTGTAAATGCTGACCCTCAGACCCTCCCCAGAACTACGGAATCAGAATCCTCATTTGAGTTTTTCCTGTCTCTAACCTTCACTTCCTGCTCTTCTCCCCTGGTGAGCCACCTAGGCGAGCCCACTAGGGCCCATAGACCAACCACAATGAGTTTATTGCCCATGTCTCCAACTCTGGCCCCTCTCCCAATCCTACAGACTCTAGAGACTGGATCACTGAACACACCCCTCAGGTATCCCACAGGCACCACAGATGCACATATGTATCTAAAATCGAAGCATATCATGTCCCCTTCTTTCCCTTACCCATTTTATCTGCCATCCCTTCACCACCCCTCTCTGCCCCCACCCCTCCACAAACACACAGACAGTGGCTTCCACTGAAATTGCCACTATCATTTCTCTCTCTCTCTCTCTCTCTCTCTCTCTCTCTCTCTCTCTTTCTCTCTCTCTCTCTTTTTTGGTGGTGCTGAGGATTGAATCCAGGGCCTTGTACATATAAGGCAAGCACCCTACCAACTGAGCGATAGCCCCCTGCTCTCAGTTTCTGATACCACCCTGGGGGATACATGTGCCCATTAAAGTTTGAGAAGCATTAGTCTTAAGACGCCCTCAATTCAGGGAAATTCTATGCTTCTAGATCACTTTGCCCTCCAAGAGGCCCACTGTGTAGCCAAAGACCCCCATACATGTGCACTTCATAGGCCATGGGCTCCATGGGTACACGCTCAGGTGTGTGCACCCCAACTCCCGCCCAGGCTGGCATATGGCACCATCCCAGGCAGTGAAGTTATATCAGGGGCCTCCTTCCAGGAAGCCCCAAGATGATACCATACTTGTCTTTGGTCAAACCTCCTTAAACCTCATTTGGGGCCTGGTTCTTTATCCCAGTTCAGCACTGGAGGTTCTCGGCGCCCTGCCATCTGGATTGACACTGGGATTCACTCCAGGGAGTGGATCACCCATGCCACTGGCATCTGGACTGCCAAGAAGGTCAGCAGGGACCTGCAGCCAAAGTGGAGCTGGAGCTGGGGTGGAGCTGGAGCAAGGGGGAGATGGGGGTTGGGCTGGGGAGCTTTGAGGGTCCCTCTAGTTGAAGAAGTGGACTCAGTCACTTTGAATTCCAGTGCTCTATCCCCATCCCCTTTGAAACAGCTAGTATGTGCTCTGGCCTCTGGGAACACAGAGCCCATCTCTACTCTGTCTTCCAACTGTTTCAAATTTAAGACTGGTTCTGTGTGAGGATGTGCTTGATGACCTGATGCCATCTCCACTTGCAGCTGCTAGCTGGACAGATGTCCTGTTCTGTCTCTGAGGAGAGCCCAGCAGGGCCTCCCATCCCTCACCTTTTCTTGCAGATTGTCATTGAATTTGGCAAAAATGGCCTCCTGACGAACATACTGAAAGCCATGGACATCTTCATAGAGCTTGTCACCAACCCTGATGGGTTTGCTTTTACTCACAGCATGGTGAGGGCACCTGGGGAGTGTGGAGGAGGGGTCAGCCCTGGGGGAACCAGGGAAAAGTCACTGCGGCCTCTGGAGGCAGCCTCTTCAGGGTACCATAGCTCTGACTTCTTGCCCTTCAACCTCCTGACCAAGAAAAGTCACCACTGGTGACCTGTGATCAGTCCTCTCCCCAAACCTGATTTTAAGCACGCATCCTCGTCTGCAGTCTTGGCCCAGCCCCAGGCCAGCCCCACCTTGTCCTGGAGTTCTTCCCTTTGCTCCTTCCTGCCCCACCAGACTGCCCTTCATGGGCCAGAATATCAGCACACCCATCCCTGGGAGTGGGCCCAGTGAATGGGGTCACCTGATCTGGGCTTTCTCAGAACCGCTTGTGGCGGAAGAACAAGTCCAGCAGACCTGGCATCTTCTGCATCGGCGTGGATCTCAATAGGAACTGGAAATCAGGCTTTGGAGGTATGGAGATCTGTGGTCCTGGGCAGGGCTGGAGGAAGGAGTTGTTGGTCTCCCACACAGTCAGATTGTGTTGACTCATAACTTGAGGGGCAGGGCTATTGGAATTTGCTAATGTGCATGAGTCACGGTCAGGGACAGACAAGGACATACCTAAGATTGACCATAGGATGGGGAAGAAGTTGTATATGTGTGTCAAGTGAATACCTAGGCCAAGCTTTCATGRGGACATTGAAAGGAGCCTCCATCTCCTAAAGGAGGATGAACTGTAAGGTCAAGTCCTAACATGGCAGAAAATAGCCTAAGGAGGTATAAATGGTTTCACCCGTTGTCCAAAATCCAGAGTTTACAGTGTCCCCCAAGTGTCCCTGGCTTCTCTCTAGAGGGAACACAACACAAGGTCATGCTTCTGAACCCATTGTCCAAGAGCTGAGCTCACCCCTTGGGGAGATCAGAGAAGTAGTTCAATATAGAATGAACCAGGTCCTTATCATCCTTGCCTACTCAAGCCTAGTTTTCTTTTCTTTTCTTTTTTTTTATATGCCTAGTTTTTATTCTTGAGCCATTATTTTGTGACTGTGCTGGCAGGCTGGTGGGCTAGTGCCTACCTGCAGGCTGCGTGGACCCACTGCTGGGTGGGCAACTTTCTCCCAAGTTTCATGGTGCTCTTCCTTGACTGTCTCTCTCTCTCACCATGCCATGAGCGCAGGGACTAGATGAGGAAAGTGGGTTCTCCAGAGAGCCAAGAGACAGTACATGGACCCCAGAAATGCAGCAGAATAATGGGTGGGACGCTGGGGACAGCYGGGACAGCCTCCAGAGCACACACAGTCCTCAGTCCCCAGATGCGGTGTCCACATTCCACTATGGTGCAGGGTGGGTTTGACACCACAGGGGACAGTTCTATTGCTGTTGATAAGCAGATCTCTAGGCTGGTGGCCAAACCAATGATGTAGACCATTTTAGATCTGGATGTCCATTGTCCTGAAAATCTAGCTTCTTAGGGGTCTGTTCTCATTGAAAACTAAGGTAGTTCTGAAGCACTGGGAGTGAGGCCTCTAACTCTCCTGGTAGATGTTGCCTGGGGGGTCTGAGCTCTGCATGTAACCACTGCTGTAAAGGAACACAACCATGTAAAATTAGATGTTTCCTTCTCCAAATGACCAGATGCTTGCCCTGGATGGACATCCATGGGAACCCCTCTGAACTAACTGCAGTTCAATGCCCACAGATCCTGGGGTAGCCCAGCTAGTAGAAAGACAAATTACCTCTTAAAGAAAATAACTTTTGTGGGTTTCTCTTATAGGAAAAAAAAATCTGTATATATACAATGTAAAAAAAAAAACAATTAGGGAGAAAGAAACCCAGAGGGGCCAAAAAGCTCCCATAATCCCACTACCCAAAGATTACTGCTTTTAATAATTTACCATGTCCTTCCAGAGATTTCCCCTTGCTACAAATTACATTTTAGAGAAGGAAAAATAAATAGCTAATGAATCCATTAGCAGGTACTTGTGAAACAGGAAGGCTCAGAGGACCTTGACTGTGAACRTCAGAGAGGCAGGCAGCTAATTCCCATTTGGTCAGGGGAAGATTAGTTTATTCTGCTTAGCTCGAACCAGAACTAATGGCCTGAAGTGTTTCTCCATATTTGGGCAAAGCCACCTGGTCGTTGGCAGGGGAACTGCTTTCCCTGCGTGGGCTGCAAACACAGACAAAGCTCTCAGCCCGTCCCGCTCGACTCATCTGTTGGTATTTGTCATTCGTCAAGTGGAGCAGGTGCAGAAGCTGCAGGCAGACACAACAAACAGGGCCACTGTTAGCCAGCCTGGGGGCTGCCTCGCACCCCCTTGCTCTCTGCAGACATGTCCCTTTCTACCTGAGGTCCCCTATCCCAGGCCAGGACCAGCCAACCAAGAGGTGATGGGCTCCCCAGTGACAGAACGRTCTCTGGGCAGCCTGTGACCAGAATTAGCGAGTTTCTGAGTTGGTGACTCAGGTGGGAAGATATTGTTTATGGCTTTATTATTGCCTTAATTTAATTGCTGCATCATGGGTTGTCTGGAGACTGTGCACTTTTGGAGAGGATAAATTTGCTGCATTCCTAGATCCTCATTTGAACTGGTCCTTGGGCCACCGTGCTGGCCCTGGGGGCAAGAGGGGTGCTCTGGCATCCTCATGAGACTTCAGAAGTTGGGGGGATCCCTAGCCTCTGAACCAGGMGTGAAGGCAGCTATTTTCGGGAAGMAAAAGGATAGGGGAACTGGGATGGCTCCTTGTCCATGAGACTGTAACCCACAAATCTTGACCAGCCTGGTTCAGCCCTCCACAATGTGGCTTTTGGTGAGGAGCACAGAGGAGTGGAAGAGGAAGGAAGGATGAGGGAGCAAAGAATCTAGGAGGAGATGGGAACAGATTAAAACTGTCAAAAAATCTATAGGGGGAGGGGAGGGTACAGCTCCTCTTTGTCATCTCCCCTAAGTAGGTCCTCAAGAAGAATTCCCAAAGACTTCTTGCATCTGTGCTTCCCAGTTCAGATTCAGGCAAATATGGGAATCTGCTTTCTTTTCCTGGCCCCCCAAGTCTATGGAGCTCCTGGGGCCATGTCTGTGGCAAAGCTTGAGCAGACTCTAGGTCTGAGCCCTCAACATCAGTGAAGCCAAGAAAGAGCAGCTGAAGGTGAAGCTGAGATTGGGGCAGAAACCCAGAGTTTCTCCTAGATGCATCTTCTAGGCAGGCCTGCCTTTCCAATGGAACCACAGTCAGGTTTTACCTAAAGAACAAGCCAAGGGGGCTCCTTCAGTTTATAGAGTTGCTGGGTCATGATGTGGCTACAGTGCTCTGATGTATGAGACCAGAGTATGCAGCAATAACAAACACCCCTTCAAGTATTAGTGGCTTACTGAAGTAAGAGTTTGTTTTACATGAGCACAAAGTCTAATGTAGGCAGATGATTTCCATTAGCAGTTTTCATTCAATGGTAACAGAGGGATACAGGATGCTGCTTCTTTCTAGAATATTTTGTTTCTAATCAGAAGTGACACATCATTTTTGCTCATGTTTTCATTGTTCAGAAGTAGTCACATGACCTCAACCAAACTGCAGAGGAAACTGGGAGATATGAGGGAGCATGTGGGTGTTTTATGAGCCACAACCTGGAATTCCAACCCTTTGGATGATTTTATTTTACTTCTAGGAAATGGTTCTAACAGCAACCCCTGCTCAGAGACTTATCATGGGCCCTCACCACAGTCAGAGCCAGAGGTGGCCGCCATTGTGAACTTTATCACAAACCATGGGAACTTCAAAGTTCTGATCTCCATCCACAGTTACTCTCAGATGCTCATGTACCCTTATGGCCACTCTATGGAGTCTGTTTCAAATGAGAAGGAGCTGGTAAGATTGAGCTTGGGGGAGGAAGAGGTCCCTCCTCCAGGAAAATCCATATCTGGCAATTCCCAGGRGTACTGGCTCTCCTGAAACAACAGTCTGGATCAATGTGCCCTGTGGTAGGGAGGAGGGGGAGCTTGTTCTCATTCAAGTTCAAAGCTGGAGGTGCTGTGCTACCTTCTCACAAGAGCTATCTKCATGATCGACTTCTGGGACTCCTCAATCCATGCTTCTCACCACTGCTGAGGGTGCTGGGTTGTGTGGGGAGCCACTCTGAGCCCTAGCCTCTCACCCTCTGGCCGCCATCTTGCAGCACAGTCTTGCACAGGATGCAGTGAAGGCCCTGTACCAGGTGCACGGGATCCAGTACATTTTTGGCAGCATCAGCGCCACCCTCTGTGAGTGAGCCTCCCTGGCTACTGCCCTAGATGCCACATCCACCTGGGGATCAGGCAGGTGCAGGCTCTGGGCTGCCTGGCAGATCTGGTCAGCCACAGGGTAGTACTGTTAGAGCTAGCTGGGCCGCTCAGAGCTGCCTCCCACATCTGGAGAGAAGGGTGGACCGTGGTGCCCAGGCAGCTGGTTCTTTGCAGCAGCAATGCACAGCTCTCAGTGCCTGGCTTACAGCAAAGTTCCCTCAGGGGAAAGATGGCCTGCTGGCCTCTGGGGGCTTTCCTTTTGCAGGGGGAGAGATGGGCTGGGTAGGCAGGGTGTGGCCCAGGAGGAGGCCTGGGCCTAGAMGCTTAGTGTGGTCTGGGCTGGCTGGGGATTTGGTTCCCAGGGCCCACTTTCAACTCAGGATTCCTTTGACCCCTGTGACYATACTCTCTCCTTCCTTTGGGGGGCACTTGTTGGCCCTTTGGTTTGCAGACGTGGCCAGTGGGATCACTGTGGACTGGGCCTACGACAATGGCATTAAGTATGCCTTCAGTTTCGAGCTCCGGGACACAGGGCGCTATGGTTTTCTGCTGCCAGCCACACAGATCGTCCCCACAGCCCAGGAGACGTGGATGGCAATACTGACCATCATGAAGCATGCCCTGCATCACCCCTACTAGCAGCACTACTGGAGCCAGAGCAGGTGGGGGTCGCCCTCCTCCCCAAGGCCTGGGACTCCTGAAACCCAAGTTATATATATCCCCTCCCTGCACCCTCTCCCAGATCCCTAGGAAATAAATGCAAGTTTAAACAGGCTTCCCCGTCTCTAGTATTGGTTGCTACTCTTTTGGGTTCAGCATTAAATAGGGGACAGAGAGTTGCTCATGCCTAGGGACACTTCTTCATGCCACTGCTACCTTCAGGAACATGAGGGACTTGCAGGTTGTATCATTTCTTATTTTGGAATGTTCTCAGAGTCAAAAATTGAGACCTCACCCCTGRGAAGCTGCTAAAATACACATTGTCTCAGCAGTATTAACATTTTAACATGATGTGGAGGGAAAACGTTTGATCTAAAGGAGAGGATCTGTAAAGATGGCATTTCTGGGCCCTTGAGGAAGAAGTGGGTCCAGACAGGCATCCTCCGCCTGCTTCATTCCCCATAAAGAAGAGAAGGCAGGTGCGTATTTCAGAGGTGCCCACTCAGAGGATCCCACTAACCACGTAGCCCAATATGAACAAGTCACTGGTTTGTGACCATGGAACAATTACTCCAGGCCAAGTCATGTGTGAAGGCACATTTCTACAAGAAAATTAAAGGGGTGCTGTCATGAGAGCCTCATGGGGTGCCTTCACCCATCCCCAGCTTTCCTTCTACCTTGACCTYCCCTTACCATGGGGGAGCTGGGATAGTGGGTCTCCTTGCTCTGCTACTAGGGGAGGCAGAGACTCCCCAGAAGCAAGAAAATAAGAGCTGAATGGGGTTGAGAGTATCTTGAGATAGAAACTCTAGTCTTGAGAGTAAGACCTCCATTTGCAAGAACCAGGCTCTCTGTGTATGTGTGTGTGCACACAGGTGAGAGGAAAGAACTGTGGATGGCCATGAACCAGTCCTTGGAGAACAGGGACAAAARCAGAAAGAATTAAGAAGCGCCCCCRCCCTTTCCCTAGCCTGTAAAAGGAGAAGCGGTYGGGCTGGTTGGCAGGAGGAGGCAGTCTGAGGTGATCAAACCCCAGGCAAGGCCCATATTCATGATGGCGTCTGAGCAGCAGATTAATAAGTGACTGAGGGAGGGGCTGCACAGACGTTAGAGGCCTATGGGCTGAGTGCACCACAGTGGTGYGGCTGTTAGGAGCTCTGAGCAAAGAACTCGGGTCTCGGGTGGGGAGGCCTATGGTAGAGGCAAGAAGGCCAAGTCCAAGGGCCATGCGCCAGCTGCCACGATGACACAATGGGCACTGGCTAGGCATCTGAATGCCCAGGACGGGCTCTGGTGGGGAAGCCCYAAGGAAGGCAGGGGACTTAGTCTCTGAAGAACCTGGACAATCTGCAGGGGAAAAACCAGCCACAGAGGAGGGGAAAATCCTCATTCTGGTTAAAATCTTCCACAAGGCTGAGGGAGACCAAGGGTTTTGTTTTGGTTTTGTTTTTAAAGCTGGAAGTAAGATGGATTTTCCAACCTGAAGTTTTCTGCCGTCATGAGAAAAATTAATACAAAATATAAAGTTGAATTCTACCTTTACRCACTGGAGTGTGAGATTATAATTTCTTTTATGTCCTCTATACAAATTATATATATATATCTATATATCTAAATCTATCTATATATACACACACATACATAGATATCTATATATATATATATCTATATCTCTATATATCTATATCTATCTATATCTAAAGGATTGATTGAACCCCAGGGGGTGGGGGGTAGGGAGGGTGTTTTACCATTGAGCCACATCCCAATCCCTTTTTATTATTTTTRTTTAGAGACAGGATCTCTCTGAGTTGCTTAGGGCCTCACTAARTTGCTAAGGCTGGCTTTGAACTCATGATCCTCCAGCCACAGCCTCCTGAGCTGCTGGGATTATAGGCATTAGCCACCACAGCCAGTTTACACAAATATTTGTATTGTATCATCATGGAGGTGTGGGGTATTACTGGTATTAATAAGCTCATTTTTTGAGATAAGCAAGATGTGAAGAAGTTTTAAAGGTCACACAGAAAGTTGAGGACAATTTGAACTTGGATTTTTCTAACTCCAAAAACCACAATGTCACTGTTTGTCCACATGTGGCCTGTGGTCTGCCTGCAGCAGAGAGCATGGAAAGCTGTTTAACGTGGTGGTATTTCGGTTCTATTCCCCAGATGACACAGGTTGTCTGAGGTGGGGCTTGGTGACTCTCTTGCAGAGTTGGGGAAGCCCTGGCTTAGAGGCAGGAGTATCTGGGCTCTGATGGTCTTCCTTAGAGCCAGGGACATGGTAATTTCTTTTCCAACACCTACTGTGTCCCAAGCATRGTTCTCAGGACATTATGCGATTCTGCACAGGGCCTTCTCTTAACTGTAAGAGGAGACTGTGAGTGTCCTTATTTTCTAAGCAGAAGCACAGGCCCCAAGAGCTTGGCAGATGAAGGGCACATGGTTCCCCACCTGCCTCCAGACCCTGAAGCTGACTCTYGCCCAAGGCCCCTCAGGACTACTGGGAACTGGATTTTGCAGCCMGGTTGGCTAGATCTCTAGGCAGACAATGAGCACACAAAAGTTGGAGCTGACACTGCTTTTGGAGGTCTTTTTATAAGGCAACAGCATCTTCAAAATCCCCCCATGGCTTGAAATGAAACCCCTCCAAGAGCTGCAGGACCCCCCCATCCTCCTCTCCCTCCTTGTCTCAATGCCTTGCTCACCAGCTCCAACCTCAGTAGCATCCTCCCTGCTTCCTTCAGCACCAAAGCTGCTTCCCAGCCCCAGGCCTGGGCCTGTGCTGCTGCTCCTCATCTGKAACCTTCTTTCTCCCACTCTTCCCCTTCAAGTCCTAGGACCACCCACTGGGAGTAGACATCCTGGTAGCCCCAGGCACACAGAAGAGACTCACTGTTTGTTGAAGGACTGTTTCTCTTCCTCAGTCTCATATAAGTTTTTCTCTATGTGACAGAAACCCGCCTTGCTGTGGCTTAACCCATTAGGGGGTTTTATTTTTGTCATGTAGCAAGAAGTCCTCTGCAGTGGGCTGGCTTGGTGATTCCTTCATACATGGGGACCCAAACCTTTCTAAATTATTCTGCTTTGCCTTCTCCTATACATGTGTCTAGCCATGTCACATAAACCTTAACAATGGGGTCAAGTCCTGAGAAAGGTGTCATTAAGTGATTTTTATCATGTGTAAACATCCTAGAGTGTATTTATACAAACCTAGGTAACTTTTACACACATACACTACTGCGTGTGTGTGTGTGTGTGTGTGTGTGTGTGTGTGTGTGAGCATGCATGCGCAGTAGCCTATCAACTCCTAGGGCAGTAATGAACACAACAAGAGATTAAGTCAGGCACAAAAGAAAATGATGCAATCCAGAGATTCAGGAACAGCTGCTCCTGGTATAAAAGTCACACTGTTTTACAGTAAACTTTTTTTTTTTTTAAAGTAGGAGTATGTTCTAAAATAATAATCAGAAGTAGAGTGTAGTAAATACAGAAACCAGTAGCACAGTCATTGACTGTCTTGATCAGTATTATTACTCCACATAATTGTCTGTGCTCTACTTGTACAGGTCTGGCAGCTGGTAGGTTTGTTACATCAGTGCAAACCCAGGAGCAATGCGGTATACCACAGCCACCTTACAATGGCTACATGTCACTAGGCAAAAGAAAAAATTTCAGCTCCATTATAATCTTATGAGACCCCTGTCATTGGTGGTTGGCCTCAACGTCACTGTGCAGCACATTTCTTGTATTTTGACAGGTTGCAAGATGGCTGCTCTACCGTCATCGTAAGACTAAATTCCAGGCAGGAAGAGCAAGGGGGAGAACGCGAGCCAGCTGACTGGGCTGGTCCACAGACTTCAATGTACATGTTATTGGTTGAGCTGTGTCATGTGGCCACACCCAGCTCCAAGGGAGGCTGAGAAACTGCTGTACAGCTGGGCAAATTGCTGCCCCCAAATAAAAGTGGARTCCCATTGTTAAGGAGGAAGGGGAGAACAGATGTTGGGAAGGCAGTCAACAGAGCCTGCGACATCTTTTCTGAGGGGCAGGGAGAATCTGAAGGGCCTCTTGCTGTAGGTAATCATGAAGCCACAGAACTTTCCAGATGTTGTAGACCAATCCTCTAATTTTGCAGTTATAAAGATTGGGGCTTCTGGTTAATGAAATTTGCACAAGGCCCGTGTGACTGTAATGGCTGAGAGAAGAGTAGAGCCAGGTTCATGCCCAGTTCCGGCTCATTGCTGCTTCCCCCAGGACTGAGAGGCCACACAGTAGCCTGTATGTTATCTCCTCTGCAAACCAAAGGAGATARTAATGCCTGGGAGTTTAAGTGTATGAAACTAAACCTCAGGACTTAGGCATGTAAGAGTTAGAAAAATTATAGAAGAATTTTTCTATGTTTTATAAAACCTGAATTTTTTTTTTAATTTTCTTAAGTATATAATGCTAAATAGGAGCTCAGTTCTTCTACATTCTGTATGGTGTTTTTTTTCCTCCCAACAACCACTCTTTTTAGGTATGTTTTTTCATCCTTTTCACTGGTAAAATTTATGAGCATTTATTTAAAAGAAAAAAAACATTGGAAAATCTGAAGAGAGAAAGAGCGATTATACATATGGAAACCCATAAAGAACCACAGCGAATGTGCTGCGGTTATTGCTTTCTTAAGAAAACAAACCAACCAGGCAKTTTGGAATGTGAGAGTCCTGTGTGAGGCCAGCCAGCAGCAGAGGCCGAGGGTGATGGGCCAATGGCCGCCATCCAAGAGGCCAGTGAGGTGCCGTCCACTTCCCCCATCCTCCTCCATCTCCCCTCTGATCACTTCAGATAGACACTGGGCCAGAAAGAAAATGACTTTACAAAAAAAAAAAAAAAATTTTTTTTTTAAATGTGAAATTCTTCTTTAGAAAAACAAGAAGGCCCAGGCAGTCAGCTGGTACAGGCTGTGAGAGAATCCAGGGAACGTGGGTGCGTAAGTGCTTCAGAGCTGGTCARTAGACCAACATGATGTGTAGGAGGGAGTGAGAGGCCTGCTGCAGACCAGGGCAGGAGGTCAGCCAAGGGCAGGCCCAATGGGATGGATCTGTGGAACATGTTACCGTTCCCAAGGATG